GGATACGACCCAAAAACAACCTCTTCTAACCCAATCCCTCCCTGTCACCAAATCTGTAAGTTAAAAATATGGTTTTTCTTTTTAAATGGTTTATAAAAGTAATACAACTGAAAGCACTTTGAGCTTGCCAGACAGAAAATGAAATGCTGTCAAGATATAAGGGAGAATGTTTTCCCATACCAAACAATCTCAAGAAAAGCTTGGGAAATGACAATACATGGGACTGAGTCTTTGTGTCGGTATCTTTAAATAGAATTAAGTTTAGAAGCTGACACCTGCTAGGAGACCTGGAGTCTAAAAATCTAGGTTGGTTATTTTGGGCAATCTATGCATGTTTTATAAACTACACATACGAGTACTTTTGAAGAGATGAGGCTTCTTAAAACCCCAGCTTGTTCACAGGTGACACTGCCTCCTCCACCCCAACCTTAGATTGATTATAAGAAAGGTGTCCCAAAGGGGGGTGGGGCGGGGGGTGGGGAGAGAAGTGCACGGAATTATGGTGATGGCACACAGGTGACTTGGTGATGGGAAACCCGCGGGGACTACAACTGACATGAGAAAAAAAAAAAAGTAAAAATGTAAAATGAACTGTTATTAAAAAAAAAAAAAAAAGTGTCCCAAGAATTCACCTTTCCTTTCCACCCATTTCAAGACAATCACATTCAAGTTTTATGTTGCCAGAATATGGCTCCCCCGCTCATCCCCCCAGACCAACTAAAGGATAGTTTTTAGTCACTAAATTTATGTGTAAGAAGCAAGGACTTATTGGCATGGCCCTGAGTCACCAGCTTTGATGCAAGTGGAATCAAACAACCCAGGTCCTGAAGCAACCTCAGGTGGACATTAAAAACAGACCCCATTCATGGGGCCTGACAGCCGGAAGGTACAGTTACAGCACTCTTGTGTATAAAGTCACAACTGCCCTTTACTTTGAGGTTTCATTCCACCTAATTTTGTCTGGAATAAAATACCTTTCTCTTTTATGGCAACATGATCATAGCAGGTAGAACTTTTTAAATTGAACATCATTACTTGGTCCAATAAGACAGCCTCACCAACTTTATTTACACGAATCTGACTTACTTCACACTGTGAAATCACAAAGCCTGGAAACAATTACAGTACAGGTTCTCAACCAAGAGACGATTATGCTCCCCAGGGGACACCTGGTGATGCCTGGAGACATTTTTGGTTGTTCCCACTGGGGAGAGACTGCTACTTGCATGTAATGGCTGGAGGCCAGGGATGCTGCTCAACACCACAGCACAGAGGACAGCCACAATTGTCAGTAGTGCCAGAGCTGAGAAAGCCTAAACTACCTGATGGCCCTGCCAACCCTTAATTCATTCAAACAACACATTATTTATTGTGTACCTACTATGTGCCAAGCATTACACCAAGTATTGGGAATAAAATAAGCCCCCAAGCAATTTTCCCAGCTAGGCAGGGAATATGGGCAGTCAGGTTTTCACGTTTGGGGGTTCGAGGGGTAACTAGATGCTAAAAAGCCCCTTCCCAAGATAATGGAGAAAGGCAAATTTAAAATTTTAACTTTGTATATTGGGAAGGTCAAGAACCCGAGAGCCCAGTTCCCTGACGATCTCGGCCATTCAGGCCTCCTACCTAGGCTTGCCCTGACCGGCAGACGAGAGTCGTTCAGGTTCCAGAGCCCCTGTGACCCTGGGGCCTCAGTTTCCCCACCCGGTCAGAGGATGCAGGGTCCAACTCCAACTTGCTCAGCGGACACAAACACACTGCAAACGGCAAAGCCGGCCCTTTCTTCTCCCCGGGCCTCAGTTTCCCCTCTTGCCCCCACTGATCCATCAGTTCAAAGGGACCAGGAAAGATGAGCTGACGCAAAAGAGCTGGAAAAATACTACAGAAGGCGAAACAATAAGGTCAAGGAGGCCGCCCGTCGGACCCCAAGGCCCTTCCTGAGGAGGGTGAGGCGCCGCGGATTGACCACCAGGTGCGGAGGGACAATCCCGGGTCGGGAAGCCCGTCCCCCCACACCCCTGCCGCTTCGGCCCGCATAGGCCGCGCGCGGTGCTCCCCCTTCCCCTAAGCGCAGGCCCGAACAGACCTGCGGCGGCTCCCCGGGCGCCAGGCACCCCACACTCCAGCTCCTCCAGCATCGCCGGACGGTGGCTCGGGCTGCCCTCCGGCGGAGGAGGCGCGGGCTCCGCTCAGGAGGCAGCCGCTGCTCACCCTCCCGCCCGCGCCGCTGCTGCCGCGGCCGCCGCGCTCGTATTTGGCGGGAACCGCAGCGACCCCCGCAGCCCGCGAGTCAATTGGGCGAGCCCGCGTCACGTGACTATCGCGTTTGGTAGAGGGGAGCGACGGAAACATCCTCGCGAGAGCCGTGACTTCCTTTTCTCTCGTGGCTGCCCATTGATACGTCCGTGAAAGGGGTGGAGCTTCCTCCAGTCATTGGCTGGAAGGAGGTGCCCTGCGATTGGGGACGGGAGGTGTCAAGCTGAGAGCTCTACACTGTGATTGGCTGATCGCGTGGGACAGCTCGGCCGAAGGGAGGCGGGAGAGCCCGTCTCTTAAACCTGGATGAAACTTTTTTATTTGGGTGCGGGTTGACAACCGGAACTGAGGTTTAGATGAGCTCTGAAGTTTTGAGTTGATCCCAATTGGAAATCGACTGAATGTAACAACAACATTTGAAACATAAATTAGTTTCTGAGGATACTAAAACCAAGGGAAATCTGGATAATACTCCAGAAGCAGCTAACATGCAGTAAATATATTCAGAATGTATGAAACGAATATTTCTGGTTTAATCTTCTTGATTCTTGCATACGTTGTTTCCTCACCTAGAACTCTTCGCAGTTCTTTTCCTAATTTCTAGTTAACTTTAGGGTCTTATATTTACACCTCAGAATCATTCCTCCCCCAACCCAAGAAATGAAGTGCCTACACCTGTTCTTTCTTGAGGGCCTCTCAGAGAATGTCTATTAGCATTTTTTTAAATTGATGAATCAAAAAAAATTTTTGGTCACTCACTAAGTGAGAGCAGGAATTTCTCATCGCTGTATCCCAGGGACTTATAGGTAATGATACATTAATAAACATTTGCTTGAATGCTTAGATACTAATTGATTGGACTGTGTGATCACCTAGGTTAAAAACTTCACAAAGAACAGGGACCTTCAGTGTAAACCTGCATGTCTTAGAAAATCACAAAATTAAATTCTAAAGCAAAGTAGAAGATGTGGGTAGAGAAGACTTAGCCCAGGTTTGGAATTCTGATTTTATAGATTGGATAATTAAATCAGAGGTGCTAGTTGAAAACAATGTGGACAAGGTGTGTTTGGGGATACCACTTTGGATGTCATATCTCACTCAGGGCCTCAAGTTTTCACATCTCAACCATGAGAATGTTTTCCCTTCCCTTGTCTGAAATTCTGGCATTCTGCAATAATTCAGACTGGTGGATCACTGTTGATGGTATACATCAGAATCACATGGGTTTTTTCCAAACAATTAAAAATAGTACCATTAGGCCCTTCCTGGTGGCACAGCAGATTAAAAGCACAGCACTGAGAAGCGAAAGCCACTTCAGCATGAGTTTGATCCCAGCCCCGGAGGTGACTTACATAGCATGGCAGACCTCTCCTGACCTCCCTGCTGCTCACCTCAGCAGTGTACTTTGTCAGTTGGCCTGTTCTGCTCCCCACTCTGTCTCTGGTGAATCCTCTCACTGCCCCTGCACCTCTGGCCTGTACACCCAGCTCTGTATGCATAAAATAAAAATAAATAAATCTTAAAAAAAATAGTACCATTAGTGTTTGGGGGAGGTTGGGGCATGTGTACACTGATCCAGTACGGTAGCGGCTGTTAAACATTTGGAGCCTCCAGATAATTTCTGCTGCCGAAAATCACCCCCACCTGACTCAATGCTGCAGATGCAAGCAGTTTAGGTGATCACTTTCTTTTTTCTTTTCCTGGATTCATTTACTCATTCTGATTCATCACTAGTTTTCAATTCATTTAATACTTTCTTGTCAATACTAGTTTGTCAAAAATCAGTATTGATAGCATGTATAGATCCAGGAAGGCATCCCAGAGGAGGTGACATTCCAAGCAGAATCTCTTTAAGACTGACAAAGAATTGGCGTGGCAGACCTCTCCTGACCCGCCGGCTGCTCCCCTCAGCAGTGTACTTCGTTGATCTGCCTGTTCTGCTCCATATTCTGTCTCTGGTGAATCCTCTCACTGTCCCTGCACCTCTGGCCTGAACCACAGTTCTGTATGAATAAATAAATAAATCTTTAAAAAAAAAAGATTGACAAAGAATATGTAAGAGGGGAACAAAGGCCCATAGGCTGAGGGAATCACAGATTATAGAAGAAAGCTTAAGACAGAAACATCGACAGAGTTAAATTCTGCAAACTTCGTAGCCCATGTTAGAAAATTAGGAGTGTATTCTGCGGTTATAGTAGGTAGATTTTAAACAGGACACGTGTGATCTGAATTGTTATAGATGCCTCTTTTGGACTGCTTTACAGGGGGATGAACTGACGGGAAGAACGTGAAGCTGGGCACACCAGAGGAGCCAGTTGGTACATCCGGTCAGGGCACAGAGGACAGAGGAAGGCAGTGGAAAACAGACGTGATATCCTGATGTCTGTCTCGGTCAAATGAGTGGATGAGCTCGGGACAAAGCAGGGAGTGGGGAGGGAGGGGCTAAACTCACGGTGGAACTGGGTATCTCAGAGCAGCAAACAGTTATCTATAGATTCGTAAACCCTGTCTCGCGAGTTCTATCTGCCTTTCACTTTCCTAAACCATCCAGGTAGATTAAAGATATTAGGGCCGCTTCCGGAACTGCCAGGGTCGTAGCGGCAACCACCGCTCGGCTCCTCTAGGATTGCCCGAGTCCCACTCGTTGGCACCGGGAGGCTGGACTCCCTCGCGACTGTTGCAGAGCGCGTGCGCCGAGCTGCCAGCAGGGGGCGCGCGTGCGCAGACGGGGCCGGACCGGCACCGGAAGTGTGTGGTTGCCATGTAATATCCTGGCCGCGCGGGCGCGCTAGGGGCTGAGGCGGTGCCAGGGCAGACGCGGAGAGGGCTAGAGAGGAGGTGGAGGCGGCGCCGACGGCGGCCGGTTGTGGAGCGCGGGGGTCCGCGGCGCCCGAGAGCCTGTCGTTTGCGCGCTGCCTCCGTTTCGCTGCGTCCGGGCTGGAGGCCCGACAGCGGAAGGCAACATGTCGGTGGCCGGGCTAAAGAAACAGTTCTACAAGGCGAGCCAGGTGAGTGGAGGCCGAGGCGGGGGGCTGCCCCGAGTGGGGGGCCAGGCCAGGCCCGCCTGGGCCGGGGTAGACCGGAGGCACAGAAGGGCTGACGTTGGCCCCTTCCCCCCTTCGGGTGGGGAGACCCCAGGAGAGACGGGTACTGCGTGCGGAATCACCCAGGCCCCGCGCGCCATGTGAACGCCTGTCTCCTCAAGGAGGTTGGGCAGACCTCCTTGAGGTCTGAAATGCGCTTTCTAGACCCGGGACATGGGTCCCACTTCTCCTTTCCTTCCTCCTAGAAGGGCAGGGAGGAAGGAGCAGAGGGGAAAAATCTAATCCAGAGGCTGTCGAAACAGGAGTCTTGCCAGATAGCCCAGGGACAGGGAAAAGTTGCCTCACCGCAATTACAAGACGAAACGAAACGAAAAACCCTTTCCATCGACCCCGGATAAAGTTGAAATGGTAGAGAGAAAAGTTAGGGTCTCACTCCAGTCCCTCCGACGTCTAGTCCCTCTCCCCAGAGACGGGGACTGTCACCCGTTCTTTATGTCTCTTCAAAGATAAGTGCTCCCCTCTCTGAGTTAGTGTAGCATAATCGACATAGTTTTGTGTACTTTGTGCCTTTCTTAAATGTGTCTTGGAGATCACAGTACAGCTGGAATTCTCCACCTGGGGTCATCCTGTTTGGTGGGACAGCCTGGGCACTGCGGTTCTCTGAGGCTAAAGATATTTAGAGACTATCTCTAGATTCCATGATGGCTAAACCCTGGAGGAAAAGAGACTTAATCTAGAAGGCATTCTAGGATTGTTGCTGAGAGTGTAACCCTTTGTCCCAGATGGGTGGAATTAAATGATCTGGCCTTGGGTTAGACCCTGCCCAGCAGGCATCAGATCCCCACGTGTTTTACTGGAGCATCTGGGAGTACTGGTCACTCTCTTGGCCCTAATGTAGTCTCTCCTACAGGGACTCTTACTGTCACTATAGATCTTGGAAGAATCCCTGGGCTATGTTGTTCCTTCGTGTAGACAGGCCTCTGGAAGCTTCCCCTCCTCACCCCTCTTAGGTCCCATACTGGTGGCCTATACCATCCCAGCAGACACACCTCTTGGTAAAGGAAAAATCTGGGCCTCTCTGGACAGCCATCGGAGCCAAATTTCTCTTGGGGCTGGGGGATGAAGGAGCCTAATCCTGCATTCAAGTCTGTGAAGCACCATGAAACCCGGAAAGTACAATGTGGTATATAAGCTAGTGGTTCAGATCAATTTATTATCTTGACATTCTGAGGGTGGACCCTGGAGAATTGTAGTGGCTACGCTCTACACTGAGAGCGATCCTGTTGGCTTCCTGGTCATTCCTGTGTTGAGTTGCACTCAGGGATCACCCTGGCTGTGTTCCATTCTCTTCTGCAATAGTTTCCATGGTCCTCTAACAACCAGCTGTTTATCGGGATATATCCATCTCTGTTTCTTTTCTCTCTTTTTTTTTAAAGGTTTATTTATTTATACATACAAGAACTGGGATACAGGCCAGAGGTGCAGGGGGCGGGGATGGAGGGGTGGTGAGAGGATTCACCAGAGACGGAGTGGGGAGCACAACAGGCAGAATGACTGAAATACAATGAGCAGCACAGGAGAGGTCCGCCACGTCATGTGGGTCAGCTCCCTGGCCAGGGATTGAACTTGTGCTGCAGTGGCTGCGGCCAGCTTCATAGTGCTGCACTTTAACCCCTTGCACCACCAGGGAGGGCCCCTCTTTTCTCGTTTTTTCTTTAAGTTTTATTTATTTATGTATACAAGAGCTGGGGTGTAGGTCAGAGGTACTGGAGGTGAGGTGAGAGGATTCACCAGAGACAGAATGGGTAACAGAACCAGGTGGATCCACTGAAATCCACTGCTGAGGGGAGCAGCAGGCAAGACAGGAGAGATCTGCCGCACCATGTGGGTCAGCTCCCTGCCTGGGAATGGAACTCATGCTGTGGTGGCTGCAGACAGCTTCATAGTGCTGAGACTTAACCCCTAACCCCTTGCACCACCCGGGAGGCCCTCTTTGCTCATTCTTAGGAATACCTTAATGCTGTTCTGTGCCCTTAGAATAGAGTGACCTATGCAAGAGTGACATTTCTTGTTGAGTAATAGTAATTGATCTTTACTGAGTTCCTATTGTAGTAGTAGGCACTGTGTTTTAAGTCAGTTGGCTTCAGCTGGTCTCACTCATGTGGCTGAAGGGTAACTGTATACCCCCTTTAACAGACAAGGCAACATTAATCTTTCTACAGAATAGTGATTCTCAATCAGGGTCTGCTCTGCTGCCCTTCAGGGACACTTAACAATATCTGGAGACATTTGGGGATGTCACAACTTGGTGGATTGCACCTGGCACCCAGGTAGAGACCAGGAAGCCAATGAATGCTACAGCCTACATTACACCAGGTAGCTCATGACAACCAGGAGTTACCCAGCCCCAGATGTCAATAGTGATGAGATTGAGAAACCCTGCTTTAAGGTTTCAGAAACATGAGAGTAATTACACCGAAACAACAAACTTGGCCCTTCTAATGATAGCAGTTTGCTTTTTCATAGTTCTCACATCACAGGTAGTCACATAGATGCAATCCAGTCATGACTTGGGGAGAAGGTTCTGCTGATATTGAGTCCAGGGACTGTTGCTAAACATCCCATGATGCAAAGGATAGCCTCCCCAGCAGAATTGTCTCCCCAATGTTGATAGCACCAGGGTTGAGAAACCCTGCCTTGAAACAGCTTCTTTATTTCAAAGACTCATAGCAGTGTAGTTTGTAAATCGAGAACAAGAACTGAGGCGGATGTGAGAAAGAGCTGGTATGGAGAAGCTTGGTTCCTAGCAAGTAAAGCCACGATATGAATGAAAAGTTCCTAGTCTCATTGGTGATACAGACCATAAACTAGTTCCCAATATCTGATTCCACACCAGTCCATCTCTACTAAAATATTTTGGTCAGCTTTAAAATCATTTTGGGCTTGAGTGGGAAGTCTGTGAGTGCATCCTTTTTTTTTTTTCTTTTTAAATATTTTATTTATGCATGCATACAAGAACTGGAGTACAGGCCAGAGGTGCAGAGGATGAGAGGATTCAGAGTGGGAGACAGAGTGGGGAGCAGAACAGGTGGATCCACTGAAATACACTGCTGAGGGGAGCAGTGAGCAAGACAGGAGTGGTCTGCTGCGCCATGTGGGTCAGCTCCCTGGCCTGGGATCGAACTTGTGCTACAGTCGCCGCATTAAGCTTGTCAGTGTTGAGACTTAACCCCTGTATCAACAGGGATGCCCTTTTGAATATTTATTTCTGCATAGAAGAACTGAGGTCAGAGGCAAGTCAGAGGTATGGGGGGTGAGAGGACCTACCTGAGAAGGAGTGGGAGCAGAACAGGCAGCTCCACTGAATACACTTGCTTAGCTGTACCATGTGGGCTAGCTCCCTGGCTGGTAGCGCTGAGACTTAAACCCTAGGCCAGCAGGGAAGCCCAAGTGCTTCTTATTATGAACTGTCCACCAACTGGCTGAGGGTCTGGCATGAGAAAAGTTGAAGATTCAATAAAAAGCAAGCCGCGGCCCTCCCTGGTGGCTCAGCGGGTTAAGGCACAGCACTGGGAGGTTTGAGCCACTTCCGCATGAGTTTGATCCCTGCCTGCCCCGGAGGTGACCACATGGCGCGGCAGACCTCTCCTGACCCGCCCGCTGCTCCCCTCAGCAGTGTACTTCGTCGATCTGCCTGTTCTGCTCCCTGCTCTGTTCCCGGTGAGTCCTCTCGCCCTCCACATCTCTGGCCTGTACCCCAGTTCTGTATGAATGAATAACTAAATCTTTAAAAAAAAAAAAAAGCAAGCCACAAAGAAATAGCCATCTGTCTTAGTCGTGTGTGCACACACCTGTAGAGGCCATGGTCTTGCTTGTGTGAGTCTTCCTCAGGGGATGAGGGTGATAACTTTTTATGAGGATTTCTGGGGAACTCAGGAGGGTAAAGAAACCCTGTTAATTGAGATCCAGAGATTCACATGTTCCCTTCTCAGAGTGTTTGCATGACATTAATTTACAGAGCCAAACTGCCAACTTGTTTCCTGATAATTCTTGGGGCCAGGCTATGGAGATTTGAGAGTGAAACTGGGGGTGGAGCTCGCAGCTGCTTGGAATGCTAGCCTGATATATTTTTTTTTTTTACCCCTTTTTGGCCTGAAAAGAGGGAGAAAGTTTGGATTGAGAGATTGGTTTCATCTGAGTGAGGAGTGAAATTCATGACTGCCTTATCCCAGAGTTGGGAAATTTCTTGGATGCTAACTAGGCCCTGGGCTTGTGCCTGGAAGAAAAGATAGAACTTCTGTGAGAAGCATAGAATGAGGGGGGGAGGGTGGGGTGGGAGGCAGGAGCTGAACTTGGTAGAGTAAGCATGATCTGGGAGATGTGACTTGTGCTTTGGAAAATTTCCTGTTACTGCCTGCTCTGATCTCATTCTTTAAGCCTCACATTGCAGGCCCATGCTTTTGATTTCTTAACAAAGTGCCTGTTAAATGATAAACACAAAATGGTCTTAAGGTAGAAAAATCCAGGACCTGTAATCCCTGGCCTTGTCATAAATAAAAGTGTGGAACCTGTGTGCTGGGAATACGAGGTGACAGGCAAAGTCTGGAGAGGGGTTCCCACCCCAGGCCCCCTGAGCTCAGCAGCTGGGGAATAACCTCCGGAAGACAACCTTCCTGAGGCAACAGATGTGGGAAGGGCTTTGGCTGCTGTGATGTACACATGTGCTGAGAACTGGGTCAAGTTCACTCTTACCGGAAGCCATTCTGCCAGTTCATTCTTAAGAAGACCCTTGAACTTGCAGCATCTGTGTGGGGCCTTGAGCTAGATGTTCCCATCGTGCTCCTCACCCCCTTCCTAGTGAGCAGAACAACTGCCTTGCTGGGTGGAATAATCAGCCTGGTGCTTTAGGCTGGACTAAAGAGAGAAGTTTGAAATCAACTTTCCCAGAGAAACCTGACGCCTCC